TGTGGAGAAGCTCGTGTTCATCAAGACCAACCTGCCCGCTGCATTCTATGACTACCCCGTGCCCGACGCCCCCCCGAGTACGATGATAGCAGCACCGACGAGGAAGCAGCCTAAGCCTAGCAGAGTTTCCTATTCATTAAAGCAGGTTTTAATTCCCCAAAATCGGGTTTAATTGTATAAAAAAAATCCGATGCCTGCCGCTGGAAAATTTGGGTTTTTTCGACCCATGGTTCAATTCCTGCTCCCGGCAGTGACGTTTATCTGAACCGGTCCTGGATCTCACGGAGTTCGACTTAGCCTTAATAAATCACGAAGTTCGACTTAGCCCTAATGAGTACCTGGTATGATGTGTTATCATCGCCACTGGGCGAGGTGCTGGTCACCCACCCCCTCGTGTGCCACTCCAGCCATCAAATGTGCTCGCTAACATCCACTTTCCCCAAAAGCCTGTTTCGGCTATACGGGGGATCTTTGTCCTCGTGATAATCATCGGGCGAGTGCTATGCTCAAAGATGCTCGTAGATTATTATTTTGTTCAGTTTTTTTTCTTCTTCTTCTTCTTCTTCATGAATCACGATGCGAAACAAGGTAGGCCGATATGAGCGTTTGTTCTTTCCGCACGCGGAAATGTGTTTTTATCTGCGCCCGTATTAACAAGGCTCATTTTCGCTGCCTGAAAACGGTTATGCTAATGGGGTGTTTATTTCCTCCCACCCCCCCACCCATGTCTCTTTGTCAACACGGAGGCATTGCATTTTAATAGCCCGGGCATCCTGCTCAGGCAGCTCTCTATCGCGGTGGCAGTGGGTAGGGGGGTGGGGACATTTAAACGCCACGTGCAAAGAGAGAGAGAGAAAAAACAATTGATTAGTTATGGCTTGTCACATTACCCGCCGCTAACAAGCCAGTGGGCGGTCTCTGCCAAATGGATTCAATACATCAAGCTTAACGACACCTCGCTGCATCGCGCAACACACACACACACGAACACAACGGCAAGTATGAGTAATAGCAGCAGTGGTACAGACGGGTGGGGGGGGGGGGGTCTTGCTATTGATGACACCGGCTGCTGGAAGCAGCAGATTGACGGATGTCTCCGATCGGAGGCCTTCCCCTCGGAGGCCGTTTTGAAGAAGTTGCCGGCGGCTTCGTCGCCTGCGTCGTGGGATGCTCGTTGGGGCGCGATGGCAAGATGTCATCTCCCTCGCGAGATGTTATCTCCCTCGCAAAAGATGTTATCTCCCTCGCCTCGTATGCAGGAGGTCCGTGACACCTGTAATATTTGTAGTTTGCGTGTCTCCCTCTCTTCTCGTGGCCGCGTGGATTAATCAACGTGCATTCAGAGTTATTTGGCTTCTATAAATTTCCACGTGGTGCTAATTATTTTCCACCGCGCTACCGAGCCGCGCCAGGGCAGCGCCGAGCCAGCCCGGCGTGGTTCACAAGGCACCAAATTATTTTTCCACTGCGGAACCCGAGCCGTGCCACCGACGTCGCGTGCGACGAGCGCGTCGAGACGTGTGTGGGTGGTGTAGTGCAGTGGTTCTCAACCCGGGGGTATGTGGCAATGCCCCAGGGGGGTACGTGATATCATGTATAAATATGTGAAATCATATCAGACATAAGAGTCATTGGTGAATAATGATGCATGGATCTGGCAATATAAAATAACTACGATACAATTTGCATCCATATGGTAACCTGGAACGATATGAAAGCACTTTCTAAGCTCCCTGATTGTGCACAATGCGGGTTTACAAGTGCAGCCAGGGAACTAATGACATCTCGCGCGCAGAGCGTCCGATGATTTTGTTTTAATTTGCTTGCGGTTACTAGCGGCTAGTTAGGTTATACATCTCACAAAGTGGACAATTGGTTAAAATATTGATGTTCATTATTCATACAAAGGTTGAGAAGCACTGGCGTGGTGTGCGCTGGTGTCCTTACCGTGCACTCACCGAATGTCACGCACAAATGTCCCGAATGTCACGCACAAATGTCCACAAAGTGGACAATTGGTTAAACTATTGATGTTCATTATTCATACAAAGGTTGAGAAGCACTGGCGTGGTGTGCGCTGGTGTCCTTACCGTGCACTCACCGAATGTCACGCACAAATGTACGCGTCATTATCTCCACCCCTGGCCCTGCTTGGCCCCAAGCCACATTCAGACACCGCGTGAGGTCAGCGTATCCCGGTTTCTGGTTCTAGCGCAACATGGAAAACGGCCAGTGGAGAACCAGCCGATAGAAATATGGGAGGCACTGCTGGCACGTCCATATAACATTGCACATGTTTCGATTTAAAGCTTTCGTGACTGCAGGGATTCATCTTCTTGGTTCTTTCGCTAAAGTCACGTAGAAGGGAAGTAATAAAATAATAAAAATAAAACATAATAAAATAATTCTCACGACGTTTCGACCACAAGGCAAGTAGCCGTCTTCAGGTGAAGAATGAAACACTGCCAAGCTTGGAGCGTATACATAAGCTGGGTTGGAGATGGAAGAAGAGCGCCTTGACAAAATAATTTGCACCTCCAACCCAGCTTATATATACGCTCCAAGCTTGGCAGTGTTTCATTCTTCACCTGAAGACGGCTGCTTGCGTTGTGGCCGAAACGTCGTGAGAATTATTTTATTATGTTTTATTTTTATTTTTTTATTACTTCCCTTGTACGTGACTTTACCGAAAGAACCAAGAAGATTGGACATGTTATCCCGTGGATACAAAATGCAGGTTAAGAGGAAGAATCGAGGCACGTTGTCCTATAAAAAAAAACGTGATAACCCACACGCGAATAAACATTAAAGCACTCATCAATAACATTCCCTTAAAAGAAAAATAAATACAATCGGCGACATTTTGGGCAATGTATTTGTCAGGTAATCCATGCTGGCTTCATTCCAAAACTTTGTGCCCTACGTTTTGATAAACCATTGGAGGTTTATCGCGATATCATCTGCGCCCAGTTTTGTTTTTATTCATCCCCAGCTAATTGAATAGCCAGTCGATAGGCTAACATGGTGCTCACGGATCACCGTGCTCGATGATTACGGGACAGGAGGGCTGGGCGAGGGGCGATGGATCTCGGCGACATGCCGAGGAACTTTAACAAAAATTAACCCGTAAAAAACAAAGTTTTTCACTATAAATCCTTTATATGCGTGGCATCGGGGCGGCGAGAGTCCTCTCGTCCTCTGTTTTGAAATGGCTGCCACCTATGGGTCAGATGATTGTCTGGCAGCATTAAAAAATTGGTAATTAAATATTTGAAAAAAATTCCCTAAACAGTGTAAAATTTTGGAAAAACATTTTCACGAAAATGCATTGTCACGCACAACGAGTCTGTGCAAAATGTCAGCTCGATTGGATCACGGGAAGTGGGTTAAAAAACGACCGAAAGATTTGCACGGTCCTAAGCAAGCAAGCGAACTTAATATAAAGGATTTAAAAACGGTGCCGTTGGTTGGCTCTGCTCCGAACACTGCGGCCCCTTATGAGATAAACAAATGTGTAGTAAGTTCGAGGAGACGATGTCGGAGTTGAGGCACACTCTGTTTATTAACCCAGGGACAGGCACAATAGTTGAAGGGGTATCGGCCCCTTCACCCGTACTATGGAAAACCCACCCTAGTACTAAGCCCTCTGTCCTGTTCCCCAGTCCTCCTCTACTGGGCTACGGGAGGCTGACTGATCTGGCCCTGGCAAGCACAGATCTCGGCACCAGCTAACCAGCCTTGCCCTGATAAGGGCAGCGGTCCGGGAGCTCTTGGGCCGCGCCGCTGGCTTACCCGGCTCGGCCCTTACAAGGACGGCGAGACCGGGGAGTCCCAGGGCCTAATCTCCGAGCCTTCGATCTTCACTGGTCAGCTTCGTGTAGAACTCCTCGAGCTCTCTGGGTCCCCACCTTTTATAGGGATCACCTCCGAGGGCTGGGGGCGTGGGCAATAACGGATGCGGACGTCGGTGTGACCACCCGTGTGTGTGAGTGCCGACACCCCTGTGTTTGTTGTCCGCCGTTTCTCCCGTAATAATCCCTACAAATGCACAGCACAAATTAACGGACGGATTAAAACCTGCAGAGTGACACAAGACGGCTGTGCAGCGGCAAACCAACAAGGGTTGGATTGTAATGAGTCACGTTGGTCGCAGTGACTCACAAAAAAGACGTAGATTCTTCCATATCGCCTTAACAGACTTTTAGGGCAAGTGCTGTTAGAGATCACATATGAAGGGCGACACTGTGGCACACGATGGGGGGGGGGGCAGCACTACGCCCGGCCGCCTTTGTCTCCCTCGTTGCGATGTTTTCACACCGCACCAGGTGCTCATTTGATTCTGAGTCGATCTAGGGGAGTCCCAGGACCGGCTCAGAGAATCGTCACTTGGTGTCGGTGGCCGTGAGCAGGAATCGTTACTCGGGCCACCGGGCTTGTAGCGCAGTGCGCTAACCGCTGCACTACCACTCTCCTCTTAGCTTGCAACAAAGATAAAGACAAAGATCCCTCGTATAGCCTGAACAGACTGTTTTGGCAAGTGCTATTAGCGAGCACACCAATACAAATACCAATATCCGACATTCGCCACTCAGTGACGGTGACGTCACCACGGCGCCTGTGCCAGGCCAGGTGCACTTTGAGGCCACGTGAGTTGTCGAAGGCTCGCTGCTGACAGGAGGTCTCGGGGCAGACCCAGGTGCCACGGGATGGCTGATTTAGATGACCGGTAGTTGCACCAGCTGTGCCCCCTACTGTGCCAAACTTGCTGCATTTTATCCGCCCGGCGCTCCGCTCGTCATTGTGAGCGTCGCTCCTCTGCCCTCCGTTGTTGCTGGAGGGGACGACTGCCTCCAACTGCCCAGTAGCAGCAGCATTCTTCACGAGCCTCCTCCACAGCAAATACACACACGGACGCGCGCGCGCGCGCACGCCTACGACGGAACGGAACGAGCGTGGGTGACTGTGTTCGCTTGTTTTGTGTTTTTTTGTTTCCGTTGCAGTCGAGTACTGGAAGCTGCCAAGAAGGCGAACCAGACGGGCCACTTCATCTGGATCGGTTCGGACAGCTGGGGCTCAAAGATCGCTCCCATCTTCCAACAGGAAGACGTGGCCGAGGGAGCCGTCACCATCCTACCGAAGAGGGCGCGCGTCGAAGGTGAGATAGCACAATCCAACGATCGTTTCTGCTCATTCAATTTTTAATCTTGGATGCAGCCGGCATGACATCTTTGATATCCGTGTCACAGGCTCATGCATGGCCGTGTTTCCAAGGAGGCGTCCAACGCTTTATTACTTAGAGAGATCGATAAGTCATCTTTGTGAGCAAATATACATTATCCCTTGCGCGGGTCTCCCTGTAACCACGGCTAGAATTTAAGGGGTGTGCCGCCCATGGGTGGAAAAAAACCCGATTTTTCCAGCGGCAGGCATCGGGTTTTTTCTTTAATACAATTACACCCGATTTCGGGAAATTCAAACCTGGTTTAATGAATACGAAACTCTGATCCAAGGCTTAGGCTGCTTCCTCGTCGGTGCTGCTATCGTACTCGGGGCCGTCGGGCACGGGGTAGTCGTAGAATGCGGCGGGCAGGTTGGTCTTGATGAACACGAGCTTCTCCTCCACAATTGTGGGCGCCAGTGAGTTCCTTAGCTTGGAATGGATGAAGCCCATCGTTGAGAAGTGCGGTTCTGCAATTAGAACCAATTAAACCGGATTTCTCCCAAACTCAGATGATCGGGTTTAATATAAGAAGACAATTAAACCCGATTGTAAAAAAAAAAAAAAACGACTGTGCCACCCTTATTCTTAGGTTTTTTCGGTAAAGTCACGAAAGTAAAAAATTCAAATTAATAAAATGTAAAATTAAATAAAAATCACGACGTTTCGGAGGCAACACAAGCTTCCGTCTTCAGGTGCCACCCTTGCTGCCGCCGTGCGTGGAGCGGCGTTTTTGTTCGCGAGAGGAAACCTGAGTCTCTGGTTAAAAAGCGCACTTCTCACACGAAAGGGGTCCAGGACACTCAAAGGTCCACACGGATGGGTGCGCGAACACAGCTGCTCCACTCGCCAACTCCTCGCAGTCCCAGCTGGTTTGGAAGTTTCACAAATATGCGTGATGCACCAATCCTCTCCTCCGTCGCGCACGAGTATAGCCACGTGCCACCATGCCCTGGCTCGATCGCTACGTAAATATTTGTTTTCCTCGTGTTTTGTCGTGATAGAATGATGGAGAGTTTCTGCTCCCATTATACTCTGTTGGCAACGCCCTATCTGCGTGCGTGGTCTTGTTGCTCAGCTTTGTCTCATTAAAACAACATATATTAATATTCCCCCCCTGGAGAGTATTTGGCCTCCACTTCAATGCTGGCCAGACATCGTGGAAGAGTTGGAAGTTACTTACATTTTACCCCACCACACGTGACCTGCCAACCGACTGTAGCGTGCCCATTCAGCACTGCTGGCTACTGGGTAGACAGAGGTGGCTGGCGGGTGGGTGGACAGGGTTAAGCTGGTTGGGGTGGAATCCAAGCACCGTTGCCGATTCAACTCCAGGGTTGCGATTTCCGCATGGAAAATGCGGAAGGAGGGTTCAAATTTTCCCGCATTTTTGCTAAAGTCAACCGCAAACGGTGGAAAGACTACTCCTATGACCGCGCGCTTTTAACAACACGTTAATGCGTTCTATTGGAAAGGATACATCATGTACATGTGCTCGTAATCACGGCTCCGCATTTGAATAAAGTATGTGGTTCTTGTGCGGAAATGCGGAAATCATATATTCATTCCAATCAGTTACTCAAAGCCCTACGTGATGCTGGGCCTTGCATGTATCCTTTCCAATAGAACGCATTAACGTGTTATTAAAAGCGCGCGGTCATAGGAGTAGTCTTTCCACCGTTTGCGGTTGACTTTAGCAAAAATTGCGGGAAAATTTGAACCCTCCTTCCGCATTTTCCATGCGGAAATCGCAACCCTGTTCAACTCCCGTGCCGGGAGTAATGCTGCCGTGCAGTGTAATAATGGTAAGCGCACTGGACTTGCTATCCAACAGTGGCCGGTCATTTTTTTATTCCACCACCCCTCCCCGCCTGGCCTTTAAAATCAGTATGAGCTCGCTGGTAACACGTAGCGGCAGAGTCAAAATGATGTCGTGCCGAGTTGAGCCTCAGCGGTGGGTTTGGTGGGATTTCAGTTTCAAGATCTGAAATGTTTTTACCCAATTATTCAAATAATTGGATCCTGCATCCGAGACTGCCCTTTGTGCTGGGCACCGTGGGAAGTGCAATGTTAAATTGGAATACTGTGAAATTATGTAGATGGGTGGCCTTTTCTTTTGAGAAGGAAGACTTTTTTTGCGTGGAAACAAGATTTTGAAATCGCTATCCCGAGCCTGTGGACCATCAGTCGCCTTGGAGAGAAATAATTGGAAAGCGAAAACAAAAGTATCTGAAAATATGTGGTTCGCTTTGCAGATACATCTTGTAATATTCATGGGGGGGGGGGGGGTGACTCTCAATACCGTTCTTCGTATCCATTTTTGTTGGCACGTGACGAGCAAACGCAACGCAATTAATACGAGGCTCAACATTGCCACGTGGGGTGGGTAGCCTTCAGCGGACCAAAAGCACTTCGCTGGCACACACACGCGCCGACACCCTGGATCACAACGTTGAGCCTTCGCAGCCAATAACGGGGACCGGTAGCCAAATGCCAAGTTCTCACAGCGTAGCCGCAACGTTGGCCTCGCTACGTCGAGATGGAAATCATCCACAGCGATTCCCACCTTCCAATTCGTAAACAAGCCGCCACCATCCACCCCGCACGCATGCACGCACCGTGGAGAAGCGACGCCTCGACACTGCATCGACGACTCAGAATCTGTTCATTTAGAACGGAGAAATCCGATGAGCAGCGAAGCTCTTTTATTATGCACACGTGTCCGGTAGTGGGCGGGTCAGCAAGTTAACGACAACGAGACTGACCAATCACGGTCGCGCACGTGGCGAGCACGATGCAAACTCCCCTGGCGTGCGTAGCACCGCAGTAGACAAATGCACCCTTCGCTTGCAGAGGTGCGGAAGACTCCTTTGTAACTTTCAAAATGTTCTGAACAACGACTGCTGCTCAAGATGCCGTGGCCTTGGTGTCACGCCGCACGCGCTGTCACACGGTGGCGGCGAACGCGAAAATGTGTCGCCTGGGTAAAAAACACACGCAAAAAAAACTGAAAGTGACGTTCATTTCTCAAACGCCGAATGGTTTTCGTGCTCAAAATACTTCACAAGTAGATACTGGTTGTGTGTGTGTGAGAGAGAGAGAGAGTGCCTTTGTATGTTTCCGTGTGTGTGCGTGAGTGAAGTAGTGACAGTGTCTGGCAACAACTTGTTAATGAACGCAGTGACCTGGGTTTAATTCCCGCTCACGGCCAACACCCGTGACCATTATTTGAACCGATCCTAGGCCTCCCCTACGTCGAGTCCAACCTCAAATGAGTACCTGGTGCGATGTTTAAATGTCTAGATTTGAAGCTTTCGTGACTGCAAGGATTCATACTCTTAGGGTTTTTTCGGTAAAGTAACGTTGGTAAAAAATAATTGGAATAAAATAATAATAATAAATGAAAAGGAATCAATCAAATCACGACGTTTCGGAGGCAACACAAGTCTCCGCCTTCAGGTGGGACCTTCACAGTCAAATTTACTGTATCAAGTGAAGGAAGTCCAAGAGACAAAAAAAACCGAAGAGTATGTTTAAATGTCGCCACTAGGGAGACAAAGGTAGCCTCCACGTGGTGCTGGCCACCCACCTTCTCGTTTGCCATCCCCGCCTTCATAGGAACGCGTTACAGCACTTGACCCAACAGTCTGTTCAGGCTATACGGGGCGTATTTGTCTTCGTTTCTGCAATACTTCTGTTTAAGTATTATTTTGTTTTCGGAGTAAACAGCCAAGTGGCTCGGCAGGAGAGCGAAGAGCTCGCAATTATAAAGTTGCGATTTCATATCCTAGCAGGGGGTTGTCTTAACGCATCATACCTCTAGGGTCGATAAAACTAGCACCGCTTCGTAGGAAAATTGAGAAGTGGTTGTCTTATGGATAGACTCGTCGCTACCATAGGAATGTGGACTTTCCACATTCCTATAGCGGGAGGTGAACAGCACCTAAGATGCTCATTTGTTGAACAGAAAACGTTCGCCCTTCGTGTGAATACAAACACTACACAGGATACAACCCACAGTTCGTTCACCTGTGAACATTGGATGTGCAAATAGATCCAGTTTAAAGAAATATATAAAGATACCCATTTGAGCAGGACATCACCTTGACTTTTTTTTTCTCTGACGGAAGCCTCTTAAGATGTTGCCATCTTGTTGACAAACTGTTTTGCTCTCTTGCATCTGAGTTCAGCCGAAACCAAACAGTGGCAGAATCACTCACTCACTCTCTCTCTCTCTCTGCTCCATACATTGCGGTATTTCAGTCAGAAACATAATTGGATGTCGATGTTCTTATTTTAATTCACTTCGTCTCACAATTACAATTGCAGCTGTTGGGCGACGAGCATATCCTGATGAGTTGATGATGACGTCACCCTGCTGCTGCTGCTCTATATAAGAACGGGAGACAGAGCAGAGCCCCTCACCATTCTGGCAAATTGCCCGATGATGCTGGATGCAATTACCAGCGAAACGTCGTACTCAAAAATTGTAAATGTTGTGGTTTCACGCTTCAACACACCGGTGGGCTAAAGCAGTGAACAATTTGTCTTTTGTCAACGTGACACTTTTTTACTGATTGGCCGTGTCGGGTGGTGGAGGGTTACGACACATTTATAAATAACGCCATCTAAACCCAAAAACTTTAATTATGAGCATATCCTCGTGGGACGTTGCAATCACACGCTTCCGATTGGCTATTACGGTTTCGGCCAAGATGTTGTTTTGGCGCTCGAGTAATTGGACGATGGCCCCTGCGTTGTGACGTTGGTTGGACGTTCAATGAGGGTACAGCTGCCTGATTGAGGTAAATGTCCTTTGTCATTGATGGCTGACGGTATAATCCTTCCTTTTCCAACTGCAAAGTGCAAAGGAGAGTGAGTTTTTTGTTTGTTTGTGCCTCGCTGCCGTCTAAACACGCAATCAGGAGCAGCATCCATCGTGCACGACGTCTCCCCTGAGCCACACGTGTTGTGAGAGTACTTTGGCCGCTGCTATCAATGTCCACGTGATGACGATAAGCCGCTGCGATGAGCGATCATTCGTGACAAGCGAAGTCGCTTCTGAAAAAAGAAACGCACAATTCAGTAGACCTAAGCTGGTAAAATAAAAAAAATGTGTTTTTTTTTCTTGGTTCTTTCGGTAAAGTCACGTAGAAGGGAAATAATAAAATAATAAAACGTCGTGAGAATTTAATTGTGGTGTATTTTATTATTTTATTATTTCATCAGGTGAAGACCAGGTCTGTCGGGGAGACAGCGTCTGACGGCTGCTTGCGTTGTGGCCGAAACGTCGTGATAATTATTTTATTATGTTTTATTTTTATTATTTTATTACTTCCCTTCTACGTGACTTTACCGAAAGAACCAAGAAGATGAATCCCTGCAGTCACGAAAGCTTTAAATCGAAATGTGTTTTATTGTTTATTTTTAATTTCACGAGACGGCCGCCGATAATGTTTGGCTACGAAGATGACGACGATGACGGAATGTACAGGGGGTTATTTATTTTTTGGTTATCCGGCGTGTCCTACAATTTTTTTTCCGTGGCTTTTCCCTTCGTTTTGTTGCTCCTTCACGAGCTCGAGAAATAATCCCGGCGCGACTTTGCTTTCCGCGTTTACGATGGAACCGCCAATCGAAGCGTCCGCCGATTGTCACGGCGTGAGATGTTCCCCCGGAATGGGGAAAAAAAACGGCGTCAATCCAATTTTACGCGACGAATTACAAAATTACAGGTTAAAAAAAAAAATTCGAATACTGTATGGCCAATTTCGCGGTGAAGGTATTACAACAAAGAATAAGGAATAACAATATCGGCAAGAGCTGATGTGAAATGATGTCTGTGCCTATGCGTGCTGTCACATAATGAAAGTGTGATATATAAAATGGGCCTCTGCGCTCCTACAAGAGGAAGCTCTACTTCTCTCAGATCTATGAGTCATTTCAGCACCAATGGAATTGTCCGTCTCTAGATTGTATTTATGTTCGGTGATGCCCCGAAGAATATTCATCCATCGAAAAAGAAATGTAATGAATTTTGATAAAAAAAAAAAATCTCTTTTTCTTCGGGGCTTTCATTTTGATCACAGCCGTTTTTTTCGTAAACAAATGCCACGTAGGATGAACGGTGATACAACGAGAAGAGCAACAGCAGCAGGTACCAATGCGATGTTGACGTTTCAAGTTTATTTAGTTTAACCAGGTGAGAGTCTGATTGGTAATGATAGGCTCGCGCTTTTTAAACACATCTTGTTCGTGGCATTATTATCATCACATGATTTACCCACGATGGCCTCGTCCATTTTACAGTAGGGTCTGGGCGCCAGTGTTCACAGTGGAGTGATGATTGCCCCGTGTAATCTCTCCAATTGAGCAATTTGCGTGAATGTTTTCTCTCCTTACACATTTCGATTTAAAGCTTTCGTGACTGCAGGGATTCATCTTCTTGGTTCTTTCGGTAAAGTCACGTAGAAGGGAAGTAATAATAATTGGTGGTGTTTCATTCTTCACCTGAGGACGGCTGCTTGCGTTGTGGCCGAAACGTCGTGAGAATTATTTTATTATGTTTTATTTTTACTATTTTATTACTTCCCTTCTACATGACTTTACCGAAAGAACCAAGAAGATGAATCTCCATCTCCTTATACATTTAAGCGCTTTTGGACGGGTGACGTCGGCTCACCGTGGCCCATTGCGAACGACGTCGCGGGGTCTTTAACGTCCGCCGTGAGTCGGATGGCGCTTCAGAGTAGCGGTGTCCGCTCGCCCTCCAAGACAGAGAACGACTCGGAGGCTCAGCGGGAAGCCACAGGCAAGCGGCCCAGGCAGCAGTAGCCAGGTGGCCGGTGCCAACAATTTCCCGAGCTCTGCTGTCCTCTATATATCGAGGCGTTTTCAACCAATGAACCTCTTTTTCGTTCGGAGATGAATGCAAGTTGCAGGTCGGGGTATCCCGTTCACCGCTGAACCTCGCAACGCGCAGGCAGCCCAGCGTTAAGTTCATTTTGAGAGTAGTGCCGTTGTTTATGAAGACGTTGTACTCTCCGCAAAGTGTTCTAGCAACACGACCACACTTTACGGCAGCTGGTGCCAAATTGTGCCACACGCCCTCCCGCACGGCCTTGTGGGAGCCTCCGTACCAATGACGTTATATTATTTTATTTTTTTATTTTTATTTGGGAAGAAAAACTGATGACGTGCACGTACGTCATCGTAAAACACAAAATACGCATGCGAGGGGGTAACACTCAATCCCATAGAGATGGAACATGTGGAGGGCACGTGAAGATTAGTCCTCAGTCTGCTGTATAGTCTTCTCCTGGCGAGCCAGGGTACGCCACCTCGATGCGCACGGGTAGAAGGGAGTTTCACAACATCTGTGTGTGATCTACCAACCCTCGCTGCTGCCTGCACAGTGCTGGAATACAGGCAGCCACGTGCACCACCATCCACCACCACTCACCACCGCCCACCACCCACCACCGCCCACCAACCACCACCCACCACCACCCACCACCACTCACCACTCACCACCCACCACCACTCACCACCATCCACCATTCACCTCCACTCACCACCCACCACTCACCACCCACCACTCACCACCCATCACCACTCACCACCCACCACCATTCACCACCATCCACCACTCACCACCACTCACCACCACCCACCACTCACCACCCACCACCACCCACTACCCACCACCACTCACCACCACCCACCACCACTCACCACCACTCACCACCACCCACCACTCACGACCATCCACCACCACTCACCACCACTCACCACCCACCACCCACCACCATCCACCACCACTCACCACCACTCACCACCACCCACCACCGCCCACCACCCACCACCACCCACCACCGCCCACCACCCACCACCACCCACCACCACCCACCACCGCCCACCACCCACCACCACCCACCACCACCCACCACTCACCACCCACCACCACTCACCACCCACCACCACTCACCACAACCCACCACTCACCACCCACCACCACTCACCACCATCCACCACTCACCACCACTCACCACCACCCACCACTCACCACTCACCACCACCCACCACCCACCACTCACCACCCACCACCAACCACCACCACTCACCACCCACCACCACTCACCACCATCCACCACTCACCACCACCACTCACCACCACCCACCACTCAACACTCACCACCCACCACTCACCACCACTCACCACCACCCACCACTACCCTCACCCATCACCATCCACCACCACCCACCACCACCACCCACTACCACCAACCACCACCCACCACCACCAACCACCACTACCCACCCACCACCACCCATCACCACCCACCCACCAACCACCACCAACCACCACCACTCACCACCCACCACCACCACCACCACTCACCACCCACCACCACTCACCACCACCCACCACCACCCCACCACCACCCACCACCACCACCCACTACCACTAACCACCACCCACCACCACCACCCACCAACCACCACCCATCACCACCCACCAACCACCACCCACCACCACCCACCACCCACCACCACCCACCACCACCCATCACCACCCACCACCACCCACCACCACTCACCACCACCCACCACCGCCCACTACCCATCCACCCACCACTGCCCACCACCACCCACCACCACTCACCACCACCCACCACCCATCACCACCCACCAACAACCACCCACCACCACCCACCGCCCACCACCCACCACCCACCACCCACCACCCACCACCACCCACCAACCACCACCCACCACCACCCACAACGACCCACCACCCATTACCACCCACCACCACCCACCACAACCACTACCCACCACCACCCATCACCACCCACCACCAACCACAACCCACCACCGCCCACCACTACCCACCACTCACCACCCACCACCACCCACCACCCATCACCACCCACCACCACCAACCGCCCACCTAAGCAAGTAATTCAATAATAGAAAACATATTGCGCAGTAATTATAATAAGGAAACCATTCGGGAAATAGATGTCTTAACAACTGCGATGTAAATATATAATTACACGTGTAATGTAATGCGGGAAGCCAAACACAATCGCGAGAAAAAACTACAACATTCCAGCAAAAAAACCGCACTTATACTGAAGCCCCATGTCTGTACGCTGATAAAATATCGTTGCGCTGACACATGTGGCACTTTAAGAATGAGCACAACACCCTTTAGCTCTCTGTCGCGTTGTCGAGTCATGTGCGTGGACACGATGCCCGACGTTTCGCTTCGCATTCTGGGAGCTTCTTCAGAAACTGAATAATGCAGCTCTCCACCGCAGTGCCGGTGTGTTGTTTTGCACAACGACTAGGCTTCCGAGATCGGAGAGGATCCGGCGAGATCAGACGCGTTCCAGGTGAAACTTGTCGTTACAGCCGCCGCGGTTGCGTGTACGTGCCGGGTATGAATTTTTTTTTTATAAAAAACAAACAAACAAAAATTGAAGGTTGACGTTTGTTATTTCCCACTTGCTCAGGCTTCGACAAGTTCTTCATGGAGAGAAGACTCGAGAACAACCGGAGGGACGTGTGGTTCGCGGAATTCTGGGAGGAGAACTTCCAGTGCAAGCTGGGCAAGCCAAGCACGCAACGCGACAGCAACAGCAAGAAGTGCACAGGTGAGGAGGTGGTGGTGGTGGGGGGGGGGGGGCAGGCTGGGCATGGCATCATCTGTGGTTACCACCTGTCCTGGTTCTCCCAGGATAATCCTCTGGGAAATCTCGAAGTCTTTCTGTGAGATGTGAACCACCTCGCCTGGTATACAGGAGGTCGTGCATTCGATCCTGACCCTCACGCCTGTGTGTTTGGAGTTTGCATGTTCTCCCCGTGGATTTTTCGACGGGTCCTCCGATTTGAACATTCAGACGCTGTCTTTACGACAGACCTGTTCTTCACCTGAAGACGGCTGCTTGTGTTGAGGACGGCTGCTTGCGTTGTTCATTATGGTCGGTACCGGAGTACATCACTCAGATCCCAAACGAGGCCGCTTCTCTTCCGTGCTCTCGTGAGGCCAAAACCACGGCGAACCTCCAATTCTGGCGTGGAACGTACAATCGTAAAACTGTGCCTTTCTGGACTTGCGATGCAGAGGTTCGCCGGTTCGATCCCATCTCCAGGCGCGGCAGTTCACCAACCTCGCAGCTTCTGTCCACCCAGCGGTATGTCAACTTGGTGCACCGCAGCCACCCGGTCGGCAGGTCACGTGTGGCGGGGTAGACCGTGGGTGCCGCCACCTTTTTTTTTTCTAAAGACATCCGGCCAGCGGCCAATGCCCTCTGGACCCACCCTTCCACCAAGCAGTGGCCTGAGCAAGAAACTGCACGGCTGCGCTTTTCCCTATAGCTTCGTGTGCAGGCAGAGAGAAAGAGGGCCGATGATGAATTGATATGCGTGCGGCTGCTTGCACAAGCGGTTCCCCATCGCATTCGTGATTCTTCTTGGTTCTTTCGGTAAAGTCACGTAGAAGGGAAGTAATACAATAATAAAAATAAAACATAATAAAATAAAATAATTCTCACGACGTTTCCGAAAGAACCAAGAAGATGAATCCCTGCAGTCACGAAAGCTTTAAATCGAAATTCGTGATTCTGTGTATTGCGGCGGCGGTGTTGGTCAGTGCTAACGAGGGGAAGTCGTGCGGTGCAATCACCTTCACCTCCCCAGTGCCAGTGTTGATATTACATACCACGTTGTGTGCTTTGCACGCCGCACTATGAACCCGAGCAGCCCGAGTTTGATTCCCAGCCGCGGTAAGTGACTGGCGTTACCCTCAAACCATGTCATCCATGTGCACTGACCAGCGTGGTGCGATTCAACGCTTGCGTGCGATGATAGCAGCAGCAATTTGTTCAGGAGCTAGAGTGTCTGCTATTCGCTCTCCACATCGAGAGGGCTTCAGGGGTGAAGGAGGGCAGGCCCCAGTGGTTTACTAAATGGTCCCATAGTTTGGGTTGCGTGGCCACAATCGCACCGCTATGGCTCGTGTTTTTCATTTTCCATTCACGAAGGAGATGCGCTCATCGGCCTGTTGACGATGTTCTGATGGAGTCGATGGCTCCACCACCAGTGCCTTCGAGGAGGAGTGTCGAAGCCAGGAGAAGGTGCGATGTTGTTGGGGTCACGACTGAGGAGTTGATTCTAGACGTCCGCGTTGTTCCAGATGCGGAAGAACGCTCGCAGCATTCTCCCGCATCTGGGTGAGATTCTAGGATGGTGACAGCAGCAGCAGCAGCAAGAGCGAGATCCCATAAGGAGGATTGGGACTTGAGTTGGAGGCGAGGGACATTGCGGAGGTCCGGGTTGATGGGTAGATTGTCGTTGGCAAGAAAATGTGGAAACTCCTTTGCAGTCTGCGCGATATCTCTTGGGGATATTTGGCGGTATAATGTTTTTTGCCAGAACAGGGAGCCAGGGGGTTCGGTTTCAGTACTAGTGTTGAACTTCTTTGGCACCGTACGTAGCCAACCGCGCTAATCGGAGGTGCGGGGAAAGGACAACAAACTAAACACAACAAGCAATTCGATAGAAATGAGTTTTCAATCGAGATTTAAAAGTGCATAGCCCCAGTGGCTTTCTAATATCGGTTAGAAGAGCGTTCCAGACAGCCGCAGAAGCGCATCTGAAAGCAAGCGATGCCTTTGTTCTATGGCCAGCCGTAAATCCGCGGCCAGGATGACCGGAGTTCACGTGATGGTGTGTGCTCCACTCGTGTTCCCCTCACACTGGAATCACGCCCGGGCCACTGAAATTGCTGCGAAAGTTCCCCCACCGCTGCCCCACCGCTCTTGCACTTGAACTCCCACGAGCGGACGTCCGTTTTGTATGCCCGTTCTACCACCGCGCGACACGCAACGGATTCGTATTCAGAGGCTTCGCGGCCTCAGTCAATAACTCTGCGCGCGGCTGTCGAATAACCGGCACTGGGGGGGAAAGGAAAATAAAAAAAATCAACCGCGTAACTCCTCCCGCACCTTGCGCTATCTGGTGCCCGCCGTTGCACCAGCTGGGTAGTCGCTTGGCAATGAGCCTGCCCCCCCCCAAGGGAGTCTCCCCCTAGCCCCCCACACACCGCCCCTACCCCAGCTTAGGCCGACGTGTTGAAGCGAGAGATTGCCGCGTGCTGGTTTTTGTTTTTTTTGGCCACGCTCGCGCGATAACGCCGGTCGTTGCCTTATCTCGCCTTGGTTTTGATCACCTGCAGGGGAGGGCCGCGTGGACATAAACATCCATCGCAGCTCGGGCACACGCGCACACACAACTTAGACTCGGGGGTGGGAAGCGGGGAGGGGGGGCACATTTTTCACTTTCACCTTCCTAGTCCCTGGAGCGTCGGGATGGTGAGTCCGACAGCGGCTGTGTGTGTGCGTCGGGCGTAAACAATAACAACAACAACAAACACGGAAATCCTTCGCGGGCGGTATTTTATAATCCGAAAGCTGAATAGGGAATTTAATTTGAAAGTGTTTTTATTTTCTTTACTTTTTTCCCATTCTTCATTTCTACCTGCGAGTCGCATTTGCATTTCAATTAACCAACACATTTTTTTTACGCCGCCCACGTTTTTTTTGCAATTTACGCGCGGAGTTGCAGACCGCGACGTGACATCGGGTAACGGTGAGGCTCGGACTGGCGAGGAGGTTTCTTTTGTCCCGTTAGTTGTTTAAAGTTGCGGCGCTGCAGCCCTAAATCCTAGCGGGGAAAAAAATTCCATCGGTTATCTCGAACGGACTGTTACAGGAGCTTGGACAAGGCGTTCAACATTGTCATTTTCTCCCCCTGACTTTCTGTCGACTTTTAGACGAAGCGATAACGCCTCTCCATTATCTCCCGAGTTTTGAACCATCCACTGAAGGGGATGCTGCTGATGAAGATAGCGCCAGCTATTGATATTTATTGAACCGGGCTAAACTGTGAAAAACACACACAATGCCCAATTCTTGGGGAAATGTAATATGAAAGTTAATCTGCCGGTCCGGAAAAAAAATATATATATATTGCTGTCAGAATATAATTTGACGCTGTCGTGCACGTTTGTGGAAATTAAAAAAAGAAGGAATTTTTAAAGGAATTGACAGTCAGTGGAGACTTTCTCCCGCAAGTTATATTCCAACTGCGTTGTCGGCGTCGAGACACAGGAGGCGGGGAAACTTTCGTTTCGGAAAATTCTGCAGTTATCAGCGCAGTCACCCCGTATCCAGCAGAATGATCTCAGAAGATGTCGCCGTAGAACTGTTTGCTGAGATCACTTCAATCCGCACTCAGATTTTATACACAACGGGGGGCATTTAAAATATTTTTTTTTTAAGCGAAGTGAAAACCAAAACATTTTACGGAATGTGTTTTTTGCGCAGTTCTAGGTGACCAGGCTAAGACCATTGGCACCTGAGGGCCACACATCCGGTAACACTTTCCTGCGGAGGGAGCTGGTAGGAACGTTGGGTTGCTCGGTCAATGGCCTGCAGGGTCAACAGCAGCGTGGTGTATTCTGCAAATATGCCCGACTGTGAGGACTGGCACAAGCCGGCGTGAGTAGGTTAAACGTTGAGTTTTATAATGGCACCACGGGGTGACCAACCCCTCCCAACCCAGCCCCACCCCTCCCACCCCCACCCAGCCCCACCCTCCCTACCCAGCCCCACCCCTCCCACCCCCCACCCAGCCCCACCCTCCCCACCCACCCCTCCCACCCCACCCAGCCCCTCCCCACCCTCCCCACCCAGCCCTTCCCCACACTCCCCTCCACACCCAGCCCCACCCTCTCCACCCAGCCCCTCCCCACCCTCCCCACCCAGGCCCCACCCTCCCCACTCAGCCTCTCCCCACTCTCCCCTCCCCACCCAGCCCCTCCCTCCCCACCCAACCCCTCCCTGCACGACGTTCGGACGGACACAATAATCCCCTGTGGGCTGGTGTATCCAGGAGGTTCCTACCAGTATTCAACTCAGGATCTCTCATCAGCGCTGGCTGTGATGACTCTCACACTTGACATGCCTGGCCAGTCAGAAGACAGCACAGGCTGCTTCTCCATCAGACTGGACTCACGCCCAGGCCACTGAGATCGTATTACCCTCAAGGCTCTGGAACAGGTATTTCAGTTCCGACAATGAACATTAAAAATAACCACTCGATGTTAAGTTGACGCCGACCAATCGGCAATCGTGACGGACGTCCGCCTAGCACGTCTGCTCGCGCGACGTGCACAGCTCTGCAAACAACCGCGAGTGTTCGTAACGCGAACCGGCCAGCTGGCGTCACTCAGGACACTCAACATTGGCACACGCCACGATCTTCCCGGCACACGGCGGCGGCGGCGGCGGCGATGACTTCAGCGAATTTCACGAGCCGCCAATCTCTGGAGATAATCGACAGGATCGCATGGGCCGGAGCCTCGCGCGGCTCGGTTAGACGCCCCGGCCCGAACGCCGTCGTTACATTCTGAGTGCGCTCTGTGGCCCCGTGCGCAACGCGAACACGGCGCATTTCTGTTTCATCCCGAATATCGCTGGGGGGGTCGGGTGGGGGGGTAAATGAAAAAAAAACAACTCTGTCCGCTATTTTTATTTCAAGGCCATTAAGTCAGCGAGCACGGCACTAGAGGGGTTTTACAGAGGGCGCGGCG